AGTATAAAATTCATAAATTTAAAATTTTTTGTAATAAAGATTTTATAAAATCTTTTTATACTTTCCACGGGTATTTGAATATGTTTCCTCATATTGCACAGATTTTTTCGGAAGACAAAGAAATGCAAAAAATATTTGAAAAAAAATACATTACTAATTTAAAAAATTGTAAGTGTTCTATCTTTGATTATGTCTTTTTACTTATGTGGATTGAAAGTTTGCCTTATGTTAATTCTTCTAATTAAATACTTTTAATTTTTTTTCGTTTTCGTCGAAGAACGGGAGGTTTTGCCAATTTTTATCAAAAATTTTTTTTACCCCCAAATCGAATAGCTTTGTAAACATATAAAACATTTTCTTTTATAATAATATAAATTCTCTTACAAATAAATTATTTTAATATTAAAAAGAAACGTTTGAAACGTTTAATTGCTGTTATTTATTAAATATTTTTGAATCAAAGTATTTTTAAAATTTATTCCTTTAGCATGAGGCATTTTCATTTATAAATTCTAATAATTATTTTTATAAGCAACAATCCTTTATATCCACTATAGTTCTAAATGGTAAAGCAAGTTCTGTTCTTTTCCATTAGCTAGAATAATTTCAACATTCTTATTTTTATAACATTATTTTCTCGCAATAACTTGTTCTTTTTGTAATGCTATTATTAAATTCATTAGACTTGAGTTAGTAACTCTTATTACTTTTTGATATTTCTATTATCATTCTAACAAGTTTATTATTCTTGGAATACTATTTAAGATTCCGTCATAAACATTTCAAATTTCGAATAAAACAATTTTTTTTAAAGTTACTGTAATCAAAGTCACCGACTTCTGTATAATACAATGCGATTGAAATCTTAAAACACCTAAAAAAAATTTTCGTAAAAAATTAAATAAGACACAAATTAAGTAGTGTTTTGTATCCAAACTTTGTTATTTAAATGCTTTAAAAAGCTTTTTGTACTTGATCTTGCTTTATATAAGTCTAATCTGGTTTTTTGATTTTTTTTTGTCTTAAGAGGTGCATCAAAATCTTAAGACTCCCCCTAAAAGCACTTTTTATAAAATTGTAAATAATACATTAGTTTTATTTTGTTGCAATAAAATGCTGTGTGATTTAATTTTTTTAATATAAGCTATTGCAAAATGTTTTAAAAAAATAATTAGTTTTACAATTAAACAGGATGTCCCATTTAACTTAAATTTTAAAATACAAAAACATTCTTAAAATAATTACATATGTTATTTATTGTTTTTTTTTGATTTAAAAAAGTAATTTTAAACTTCTTTAATGTTTCTAAAGGACATGATGGTTTTGATGTTTTTTTAAAAAAATTATTTATCCCCTAATGAGCAAAAAAAATTCTATAGGGGAGTATGAAAAGGATAGATTGATACTATGCTTTAATAGGTAAAAATATTAAGCATATTTGTGTAAATTTGGGCAGAAACAGGATGCAATTAGAAATTACCTAATGTCAAAAAATTAAATTAAAAGTATTAAAAAAAATACAGGAAAAAAGTAATTTCTTTTAGGACAATAAAAAAAATTTAAGTATGGATTCTAGTAAAGCCATCAGTATTTCATAAATTAAAGTTGATTTTGATTTATCAGTATTAAAATCTACTGTTTTAAGAGCGATTGAAGAAGATAATAATCTTGTATATAAAAAGATGAGACAGAATCCGAATTTAAAGGAAGTGCATCAATTTAAAAAGGTTTGATTTTGCTTTGGACAAAATTTTCTGGACTCGCCAGTTGCACAAAGTTATATTTTTCTGACGAAAAAAAAAGATTAATTTAGACGGTCCAGATGGTTCAAATATTATTGGCATCATGTAAATAAAAATTAAATTTTATAAAGTAAACTTATAAAGGGCGAAAGAGGTATTATGGTTTGGGTCGGTTTTTTCCTAGTGAATGATTGATTTTATAAATTTTTAGTGGTAAAATAAACAGCAGTGCTTGTTGTAGAATGCTTGAAATACCACCATTAACATTTCTTAAAAGTAAAAATAGTGATCTTAATGATGTAGATTACGATTTAAATTATATTTTATAACAAGATGATGCACCTTGCTATCGAGCTCGTGCAATTAGGATATGGTTTGGAAACAAATAATATTGATTGCATGGATTAGGCACAATTAAGTCCAGATCTTAATCCTGTTAAAAATTCGTGGGCAGATATTCAAGAATGATTTATATAGACGAAAAACAATATAGTAATATTCATGGTTTGCATTTTGCGATATTACTAGCCTGGTCAAATATTCATCTAAAAATCTGTACAAAATATGCCGATTGAATGCAGAAGCGTATGATTGATGCTGTTAAAGAATAAGGTGAAAAAATAAATAAATAATTTTTTTAAAAAACATCAAAACCATCATGTCCTTGAGATATTTTGAAGAAATTTAAAATTACTTTTCTAAATCAAAAAAACAATAAATAGCAGATGTAATTATTTTAAGAATGTTTTTGTATTTTAAAATTTAAGTTAAATGGGACATCCTGTTTAATTGTAAAACTAATTATTTTTTTAAAACATTTTGCAATAGCTTATATTAAAAAAATTAAATCACACAGCATTTTATTGCAACAAAATAAAACTAATGTATTATTTACAATTTTATAAAACGTGCTTTTTTTGGGGGTGGGATTCCTTAGATTTTGACCCGCACTGTTATAATAATAATTTATTTATTGATTAATTCTTTATGGAGAAATGTTAATTCGTCAGATTCTTATAGCGTTCTTGATTACAAAATTTTATATTACCGATATATGAAAGCATTAATGTTTTTTTCATACTCAGCTTAATCCTTTCTACGCTTTGTTCAATTTTTTTGTCTTGTCCATATTACACGTTATCTTCCTCTTAAAAAATCCGCCTTTCCTTAATCTCAACATCTGCGCATTATGGCTCTAACATACCACAAGGACCTTTGCTCGTAAGAAGATTTGATTTACTCTTGTAGGAATACTTACTGAGCCGACAACTGATAGAATTTGCTCTACCAGATCAGGGGATCACCGGACTTGTGATCGGACTATGCGATATGAGTTTATTTAACGTGATGTACTTTCACAAATCAATGCAAAATATAGTTGTTGGTTTCTAACATGTGTTTTTTTTTATTTTAAAATATTTAATATAAAAAATAATAATTTTTTATCCTTAATAAATTTATAAAGGAATACAACCAAGAAAAAACAACTTTAAGAATAAACTATTTTTCGAAAATAAAAGCATTTTAGAAATTTATTCTAAGTTCAGAAACCTGCCTAGGAGTTACGAAGATAGTAGAGTTTCACTGGCCTGCTACGCTCTTCCCGGGAAGGTCCTTTAGATGTAATTTCTTACTATAGGTCTCCGAATACAACCTACAAATGCTTCCAAAGATATAGCTGTTGTGTTAATCTAATGCTGTTATGCATACTTGCAACATTAGGACATTTACAACCCTTAGCCGACGGCTACAGAGAAGCTTACGATACAACTTTACCGGCATAGCTTATTGACTATTGCTGCGTTAACGCTATGTACTTACCTAACAATTCTAATTGCTGGGATTAAAACCCATACCCTTCAAGCATCAGAATAACAATGTTACCATTGTACTAACAATGCTTGATCAATCGCTGTATAGTTTCCTTAAAATAATAAATAAACAATCTCAGTTCTTTATACTAATTTTTGTTAATAATCCAAGTTACATCCTTATTAAATTCAAGTTTAACGTGATTACAAAGAACAAAAGCAAGTGATAAAAACATTTTAAAAATAAATTAATTTTTTTTTATTCCTCGATTAAAACCAAATTAATCTAAATTTCGCCGTACAGCATGACCAAAGTGAAATATACATTCTCTAATTTTAGTAATTGAAAAGGCATCTTTAAATGTTGCAATATCCACTATTTCTAATTAATAATAATATATTCATGTTTACATCAATTAATTAACTTTTTTAAATTATAAAAAACACTATCATAATCTAATGTCGTTTTATGCTCTATTAATATATATAATAATTTAAATGTAATGGATAACCATAATGTGTTTCCTTGTACTAATTGGTGACGTTAGAAACCACGTTATATACATGAAATTGATTAAACATGAATCTTGAAAAATAATTGGTTTGTGCCTATTTGTTTTAGATTTATTTGAAACAAAAGCTTTAAATAGATAAATAATTATCTATAAGGTGGAATTAAATAAATGGTTAAATAAAAAATCTTTTTATTTTGGTAGCTTGGTCGAGTACTACCTAAAGAATAATTTACTGCTAGTTATTTTCGGCACTAACATTAATCGTTAATATATTTGATTGTATAACATATAACTGTTCAAAGTTTGTAGGTGTAACATTAAATGTACTTTTCAATATTACATTTTGACAGTATAAACAAAATTTTCTTCAGTGTCAAAGAGAAGAACCCTATCAGTATCATTGTAGCCATAGTCATATAAAAAAAATCTTCGCCATTTATATTTGCTAAGAATATCATCGTAAACACTTTCTGGCTCTAATAATTATTTTTTCCATGTGTTACAAATTAAATTGCTTAGAGATTTGATCTTTTGTAACTTTATAAGCAAGTTTGGGCCAAGATTTTAAAAAACGAGCCAAAATGTCTTTTAGTGGTTAATTGCAGCCCATGATTGCTTTCTAACTATATCAGACATCTGTTTTTTTCATTAGCATACAATCATTTTGTTCATGTGTATAATATACAGAATTAAAAGATTTTCAATAAACATCTGCAAATATTTTTTTTTAAATGCTGTTTTTATAAGTACAACGCCACCAAAGACCTTTTTTTGTAACATTATTAGCATTATAAAGACATCCCCTACATCTAATCATTAACTTTTAAAATTTAGGTCCAAATTTAGTTATTTTTTTGATCATGACTTAGGGGTTTAAAAAAACATTTTTTCGACAAAAATTTGTAGAACGCGTTTTTTTGAATTTTACCTTTTTTAAAAATACTAGCTTACGTTTTTCTGTTTTCAATGACAACTTTAATTTATTGAATGCTTTCTTTTTTTTAAAATGTACGTGTTGTTTTTTAAATGTGCTTTATTGTTATAAATTCGAGAATTCCTTTTTTTACTATTGAGTAGCATTCTGTATGACACACCTTTAATTAAAAATTTAATTTATGCTTTTTAAATTACTTAAAAAAATGTTTTGTGCACAAAATTATAAAATTTACAACAATATAACCGCTTTTAAATAAAAAACTAAAAAAAAGCGCAAAAAATAAAAAATATTCAGGCTCAAACTTATTATATACTGATGTCAAGTGTTATAGGTAATTGTATAAAATGTATTTACTTTATTAATTTTTGAAACATGTTTTGTAAACAGGATAAATACTTAAATCATCTTGAATATCATTAATTTTAGTGAAAATGTTTATGATGCAATAGAAACATTAACTATAAAAAGTTTAAAAATAAAGAAAATGGAATTAAATAAATACATCCAAAAAAGCGTTTTGGCTTTTATAATTGTATCGAAAATTGCTCAAAGCACACGTTTCTGTCAGCCATTTACCACCAATAGCTTATGCTATCTTGTTTAAAAATGAGATTTTTAATTAACTAAAGTTTTGTACTTTTTTCAATTGTATTACATTTTTTTTAAGTTATTGTTGATTTTAATCAAAAAATTGCTATTTTTTATCTGGGTAAAAATTTTGCTTGGTAGCTTTACAAAATAAAGTCTTAATTAAATTTAAATATAATTATTAAGATTTTTCTGTGAATATAATAAGAAGTTTTATAATAAACCTACCATGTTTTAAAAAATCTAAATAAAAATCTATAAAATTTACAAAAAAAAGTTAAGATTAATAAAGTTTTTAATTTATGTGAATATTTTTAATTAAAAGTCTTTGAAAAATTTGTTTAAAATAATAGCATGTTGTATATCACAAAAATGGCTTTGTATAAACCATTACCTTTTTTATATTTTTAGAAAAAATGGTTGTTTAGTTAAACAGAACGGAAGGAAAATGATTGTTGTACAATAATTATTTTA